AAAAGCATCAGCTATAAACAAAAAAAATAATCACCATTAGCGGAAATCACAGAGAAAAAAGTTCTCTGGTAGCAGACATAAAAACACCCGAATTGAGAACCTCCTCCTTGTTGATTCGTGAAATCCGTAGAATGTACCTACTATATTATCCCCTCAAGTCAACTTCATAAGGAGGATGTTCGGACCGAAGCGTGGTATGCAATGTTACTAATTGTAATGGTAAAAACACAGTTACTGTTGGTAGGACCTCTTGTGAGACCGCGCGGGTTGGTCCCACCACCCCGCCTATTTCTGCCGTGAAGCAGTAATGCGTTTCGTTTTGAAGGGTGAGGCAGCCGTTGTAACTATACTTGAGACCTTAGAACTTATATTTTAAGGTGGGTAGCGCATTTACGTCGTAGATGTCTATAGACTCCTGTAACAACTCGTCCACTCACCTAAGCAATAGAAAAAAAAAACCTATACAGTATAATAGGTAAGTTCAATATTGTGTAAATGTGTCATTTTCTGAAACATTAAATATCAGTATTTGGTATCGTTGTTAAGACTAGATAACTGTTGGCTAGAATGTAATTTCAACTTCAATGTAATCAAACAGAACTGAAGATATCGTGCTTTAATCTTAAACCATTATAAAGATAAAAAAAAATTTGTAAAATGTATATGTAAAAACTCACTATGGCTTGCGATGTTTGAGATTAGTGTACCTTGTTCAATACCTACCTTTATTAGTATCGCTTGAAGCGTATCATATAAGATACAGCAACATATCTATCTATGTCAACCCACTCAATGTCATAAACTAAATAATCGTAAACAGTCCTAATGACAGTTTTGCGTTGTTAAAACCAACTTCTAAAGTTACTTCGGATTAGTTCGATCGGTGCTAGACTAGTTAGAAATTAATGAATAGAATAATTTTCAAAGTTATGTACCTAACATATTATATTTTCGTAAAACTGATCTGACATAACCAAACCCGTAACCTTTTAGTTACCCCTACTACCAGAACACAGACTTGTTGGCGGGAACCCGAGTTGTGTGAACTATTTTCACACAACTCGGGGATATGTAATTGATTAAATATTGTGGGAAAATGAGACAAAGCCGCTAAACATAGCTTCTCGGCTTCTTCTCAAAACTCGCATGAAGCAACTACCATTTTAATGAGACTTTGTTCTATCCTATCTGATCTCGTTCCATTTAATTTCATTCTAGTTGACTAAAGTCTCAAATTTATAAATTCATCTCATTTCGCTTCACATGATCTTTAAAATAACAGGATCTAAGAAGAAAATAGATTTGGCTTAAAGGTCCCGTAACTCGACCATATAGACAATCTTTAAACAAAACTAGGACATTTTTGGGATCTAGATAGCTTGGGGCCAGGTGACCGTTTGTGATTTATTGTAATTAGGTTTCAAACTGGCAATGCTCAGCATCCGTGATACGTACATAAAAACAGTGTAGGGTTGGTCTACAAATGAGTTTGACTGAACCCTAATTGTCAACTTTTTACAGCAATAAACGACCCGTTGGTCCTGGTGCGATATATTGCACTTTTTTTCCCTATCTATGCTTATAGACTTGAGAGGCTATTTCAGCTTCACCCTAACGTGGTTGCACAATACGGTACACTCCAAAAGGAAATCAAAGTGTAAGCTGACCTCTAAAAGTTTTCCAGTTATTTTTATTCCAATCAATTAAGAAATTAGTTTCACACATAATTTTGAATTCTAAATTAAGAAATATGTCGTAATAAATTATGTATCAATTCGATTTTTTTTTGTTTCAGTAGGTCGGTAAAGACATAATGCGTCATAAACACATATGTATGTTGAAAGTTACTACATACATTATCAATTGTGTTATTCTCAAAACATTCTGTTCCCGCTGTCAAAACATAAGGAAATATGCAAAACATCGATTGTCGTAATGAAATACTTGTTACATTTTAGTATTCAGTTAAGTTCTTCTTTAATTTACTTATCAAATAAAAAATCACCATAGAAATGAAACATTCATTTATTAGTTTTGACGCATCTAGAAAAAATATACATATTTTAATATTTTCTTCGGTTTTCGCGAGTCATAGCTATAATGAAACTACTTTTAAGGTTTTTTTCTAATTTTTATTGCTTAGTTGGATTGACGAGCTTACGGGTCACCTGGTGTTAAGTGGTTACCGGAGCCCATAGACATCTATAAATACCTACCTTGAGATATAAGTTTTAAAGTCTTAGTATAGATACAACGGCTGCCCCACCCTTCAAACCTAAACGCATTACTACTTCATGGCAGAAATAGGTAGGGTGGTGGTCACAAGAGGTCCTACCACCAGTAATTACGCAAATTATAGTTTTTCGGGTTTGATTTTTACTACAAATTGTTATTCCTTCACCGTGGAAGTTAATCGTGAACATTTGCTAACTACGTATTTCAGTAGAAAAATTGGTACTTGCCAGCAGGATTCGAACACCGGTTCATCGCTAGGTACGAATGCACCGGACGTCTTGTCCTTTGGGCCACGACGAATTTCGCGTTTTCCGAAGGTTCTAATAAGTGTATTATTTATGCACTTTAAATATTTCGATTTTTATATCATACTTATATTCTGACAGTCGCAAAGCTACTGAATTAGTATTTATGAAATTTAGCAAGAAGGAAGCATAGGCTTAGAAAGAAGCATTTTATTATAGTACATTACACTCTCAGTTTATAAATGTTTAAAAAAAGCGATTAGACTATCAACATAATTTTATAAAAGTATGTTGAATTAAGTTTATTTTTAATTATTGATTATTTGTATATATTTTAATTATTTATTACAATTTTTATATTTATTATTAGCTTTATTTAAATTATATTTTGTTTTATTTTAAGTAAGTAAGTTGACTTGGCGTTATGAAGTAAACATTTATTGCATATATGTATAATTAAATTGGTTTCTCCAGCGCAATCACTAACATAAAATTGACGTCTTTAAAACATACGTGCGTTTGATGGAAAACGTATCTGTAAGGTTCAGACGTTATCAACAGCCTTTTGCTTCGTCTGTGTGCAACGGAATGTTCGAACGTGATTTTTACCCAATTCAAAAAGTCAAATTAAATTGAAATTTAGCTTACTTCTTGCCTGAGACCGAAAAGAATGGAGTGCATTTGAAGAGACCTACACTCAGCATTGGATGGACACGGGTTGAACAAGAGAAGTGTCTCTCACACTTATCAAGGACCGTTGAAAATATAGTAATTTAACGATCTAAGACTTTGATCAGGTTTACCGGAATATGAATGAGAAATAATACAATGATATTAAATATCGATTGTACTTAGCAACACGAAAAAGCATTTTAATTAAAGAATTGAGAAGCTAAGCAGAAGGTAAGCATTTATAACCATCACTATATATGCTAGCTTACTTATTTAAGCTCGTTAGGAAAGATTAAGTGAAACAATATGGTATTTGGCCAGACCGCCTTGTACGAGAGACACACGTGATATCACGTTAATAAATTGTAATGTTTAATAACATTTTAATTATATTTCATAATCTGGTTAACATTTCTAAATCTAAAATTTAAGTGATCAAAGTCAAATATTTATTTAAATGATTTTATCTTAATTGCCTTATAGGATTTCAATATTTCCCATTCTTGTTAATACTGCGGTTTTATACTGTTATGCTTTTAAAATGATTGGTGTGAATAAAGAAAATCGATAGGTGAATTGAGATGTATAGTTACGAAGTAGGTTCGATAGGCTATTTTTATTGATTTCTTATCGCATACTAGGTATTAATGTTTTATAGCATGTACAAGAACGTCAGTGTTTCAGTTAATCTAAAACTTTTTTAAATACAGAAATAGGTAGTTAGTTCTATACATTTAGGTATTGTATGTTCCGCGGCTCGGGTAAAGTTTTATGTAATATAAAATTAATAATAATATGATAATATTAATATGTGATATACAAATAATAAATTAATTATTTATTTGTTATCTATGTGCATAAAACTTGTTAACATAGAGGAAAATATTAAACTGACGGGTAGATTGTAAATTAACGCTTGCGTACATTTCGCCTATAGTTATAGTCGTACGTAGCACGTAGGTACATAATTATATTTTGTTATTTAATTATGTTGTTATAGGTTGTCTGTATTGACAGTTTTGTGGTTTGAATCAGAATTTTTTTTTTTTTTTAAAAAAAAGAACGAACTAACAAACGGATGACAATAAAAGTCAATTTCGATAGTTTCTTAATATAATCTATGAACGATGCACGATACTTTTTGATATAAATAAACCATATTGATGTATTAACCCAATTAAACTTTTCGCCGGTAGTAAAACTATATACAGGCTATACATTAATAGACCTGAAGGTTGAAAGTGTTGTTTGAACAAAATATTCTTTTTCGTTTACGTAACACATTAAGGGTTCACAATTTATAAGGTTGTCAAAGATACGACTGAAACATTCCGTCCGAGATCTAATTATCTCTGTTATATTATTTCATTCACAGTTTTCATTATAATTTTGCATTATTACGATGTCTTGTGTTTTGTAATTTGATAATTTTAAGGAAGTTTCGGATACAGAAGAATACAAAATGTGCATTATAGTCAAGCTTATTACATTGTGTATGCTTCCCAAGCAGCCTTATTACATACAGACATTCTGTGCTAGTACACATTGACGATTAGTATGTAACAATATTATCTTATATTAAGTTATAATATTGTAAGTATCATATGAATTGGTTGGGAATGCGTGGTGTCACTATTAATTAATATTAACAAGTGATAATCACTATTAATTACATTTTTATAAATTATTTTTTTATACGTTATACATTACGAACCATTTTGAATTGCAGCATAAAGTTGACGGGATGCAGTTGAAAAACGATATTTGTCCTAGTTTTATTTTTGTTTGATCTCAATATAAGTACTCACCGTTGTGTGTTCAAGATAAAGAACGATAAAACATACTCACATAAAAAAGACTCTTGTTCCATTCACTGATAAATTGATAACAGACTTCACTGACCAGGTAACTTGACCGATACTTAAAATATGTTATTAAAAGTTTTATTATTATTATTATTATAATATTACGATACAATAATATATCCGGGTGTACAGTATGTGCGTTCACGTTTGTGCGTCAATACCAGGGCGGACTGCGAGAGGCGCGCGCTACTCGACTTCTAGCGTGTTATTGGCGAAAAACTGCGGCTGCGTGCGCACTCGTCTGCCGCAGATCCGCGCCGCATTGATACCGCGCCTTGTGGACTCATCGTTCACCCACCTAACCCCGTATTGCTTCAGCCTTCACACAGGAAAGGTTATATCGTAAATAATGTACTATGATAATGCGTCAGTCGATAGATAGGTTCTATTTTTATTAGGTTAAAAATGCACAATGCCTTTAGAAATAAAAACAGTACAGCTTATTAAATTACAAGTTAAATGGAACAAGACAATTTACACATAAAATATTACACAACAGTTACAATTTTAAAAGTGTGGATAGGTAAACGAAGTTACAGACCCCTTGAGGCTGTGACCTGGAAGATGGGGCACAAACGTTGTATGCGCTCATAAGCCGAGAGGGCTGGTGGTCATGGCGCCGACGACCGCCGGTCCGGCCTTCCGAGGGGGAGGGTGATGGGAGAGATCTGCTCTGCACTAAACGCTTCACTTTCCCTCTTTGCCTTTTCATGAGTTTTGTCTCATGCGAGGTTCGGACGTGGGTTGTTGAGCAACAGGAGGTTTTAGTCAGTTCGACTCCGACATGCCCCGCTCTCCATCCCCAGGGGAGGGCGGAAGTCCGGCGATTTCCTCCTGACAAAAATAAATAAATACTTATCTTCTGAATGAGATTTCGGCTTCTATTAAATATCTTGTGCTCTGTGATAGGTACCACCACATATCTACCGCAGCCGAGAGGAAAGACAGTTTTCGCCCGGTTTCTGTTCCCGCAAATCTTTAAGGTCCTTTTACACGTCTGTTAGATGGCCTTTGAAAAGGATTATGTTAATAGTGAGAATTCCGTCAATTTGATTACATGTGACGAGTTTTCTTGTAGTAGGCAGTGGCTCGGCTGTATACTCTGGCTAACTGGGACGCAGTCTAGCCACTGCCTGTCCAGAGGGTTAAAGGCAGTGACGTCCTCGGGTTCTGTGTCTTTTGGTGTCGAGGTGACGTAATTTGCGTAAGTCAAGAAGTTTTGCAGTCGTCGTGGCCTAAAGAATAAGACGTCCGGTGCATTCGTGTTGAGCGATGCACCGGTGTTCGAATCTCAGGCGGGTATAATTTTTTTAAATAAAATACGTACTCAACAAATGTTCACGATTGACTTCCACGGTGAAGGAATAACAATCAAACCCGCAAAAATTATAATTTGCGTAATTACTGGTGGTAGGACCTCTTGTGAGTCCGCGCGGGTGGGTACCACCACCCTGCCTATTTCTGCCGTGAAGCAGTAATGCGTTTCGGTTTGAAGGGTGGGGCAGCCGTTGTAACTATACTTGAGACCTTAGAACTTGTATCTCAAGGTGGGTGGCGCATTTACATTGTGAATGTCTATGGGCTCCAGTAACCACTTAACACCAGCTCGGCTGTGAGCTCGTCCACCCATCAAAGCAATAAAAAAAAATGTAGCAAACCTACTTTATTCGTTTTACCAAATGAAAATGCCGTTTTATGAAATTCAAAACGTTACGGAAACTTTGAACTGTAAAAAATTTGGTGGAAGCTTCAACTTTCATAATTACCTAACAGCAGGAGAGCGCAACGATCGTCTGTTTATTAATGAAATAAGTATGTCACCTATTGTTGCATGTGCTCTTTTGACATCTCATCTCTGATGATAAAAATGTTTACTTGCAACATATTTTTACAACAACGATGCTGCCACTAAGGTGTATCATTTCGGGAAATTAGTCCAGGTTATTTTATACTTTTTATTAGGGTTCTGTCATCGAATAATAAAGTAAGGCTAAGCCATTTTACTCGCTGATTTTCAGCACTAGAAATATGAAAGTTTTGTTTTTATGTTAAGGTCTTTAGTCCGTAAAATGTAGAGCAATAAAATTTTGTATAGGTAGATGTTATAAAAAATGTGCTTCCTATTTTTTAATGCCCATGACCATTCTGAAACAAACTGATGTGGTAAAATTATATGTAAATTTTCAACGGAAAGTATTTTGAGGGAGATGAGAAGTTTTTAATATACTACATCGTTTTTGTTAAACTTGACTTTGAAATGAATGTAAGCGGTGAACGTCCATTTTAACCGGAGATCCTTCCAGTTGACCGGCACTTAATCATCTGGTTTTTTTAAATATAAACTGTCTTTATGGTACATGAGTCACATTTTGAATTTCATAACTTATCTTAAAAAATATTTATTTTGTTACTCTGTTATTTCTAGTTGACAAATTTTTTTCCTATCTAATCGTTGGTAGCCTGAGTATCTATATCCTATTGAAACTACGCACGGACTTACCCTGGAAGGATTTGCTAACATTAGTAAGAGCAGTCCTTCACTGAATATACCGCCGGATTAGAATTGCGATCCGGCGAAAAACTCAGTGAGTTGCGTTAATGGGCTAAGTTGCATGTCGAACTCTTCGAACAGAGATCTGTGCCTATAGGGCCTAATAGCACCGTGGGTGTCTGGAGGATAAGATGTGCTTAGGGCGAGGTCGGTTTTGCCTTGACCCCTCGGCTGGATCGCGTTTTGAAGCGATCACGATGAGGGTTATCGTGTCGTGCCGTTTTATCAAAGAAGCGTTCCGACGCTATCCTCAGATACTTAGATACCTATTTATTCTAATTTGAGGTCATCGTGAAGATCTTCATCCCTCATGTTTGTGATAAACAATTACGTCATCGGCATATTTCTGACATTCAAATTCGTAAGAAAAATCATTCTAAAAGAAAACTTTTAAAAATGTAAGTTACAATGCCCGAAATGTCCAATTCAGTAGGAATGTACATTTATATTGGGTAGGTTGTTATTTGTGATCGTACTGTTAATTGTTATTATTATTTAATATCAAAGGAAAAACACGATAGCTTCACATTAAAACAGTGTACCAGTTACCAAATTCTCAAAATTGTGTTCCAGTTTCTGAAACATATTTCTGTAAATGTTGGTCACCAAACTAATCCATGTAATCCAATTAAACCTGATTTATTATCGTCTATATGTGGTTTACAAGTAAACTTTAAAAAAAAATGCATATTTATTTAATTAAAAGTCTATTATTAATATGTGACAGAACGAACTATTTGAGGTTTCACAAGAATTTATTTCGCGAGATATTTTTAAATTACCATCGTTCGTTTGTTGCTGTCAGTCAGACCGGCGGACGACTGTGCGTGTACTAAATCCACGCAGTCTACATTGAAGTTTGAATCATAATGCGGAGTTTACATTACGAAATTAGTGTCATGCATGTTGAGCTCAGTTTCACGAAAGTAGTTTCGATATATGCGAAAGTAATTTCGTTAAAAAATTAGTGTCGCGAAATCCACAGTATCGCAGTAACCATGGCGCCGTCAGCATCAAAGCTATATTTTGCTATATTCAATGTAGCTAAAGAAATGCTTATATACCTATGAATTTAAAAAAATGCTATCAAGAAAAGAAAAAAGTTGTTAGATTCGAGGATGGTCAACAAGAAGGCATTTAGGTGCAATGAAGTTAGTCTCTGAATTAGCAGATGAAGATCCTGGGAGTAATAAAAACAATTTTCGAATGAGTGAAGATAATTTTGATTTTTTACTGTAGGTGTTTCGGGTTCCATAGACACCCTTGTCGCTGATATTCATTAATAACATCTATTTTATTTTTCTGTACTCCATCGTTGGTTTGCCATTTTCAACGCTTGAAGCGCGTCCGAACTAACCATACAAACGTCCGCACAACGCAGGCACTTTCGCGACATTAGTTTCACGTCGCGTCTACACTATGAAATTAGTTGCATGACACTAATTTCACCAAAAAATCGCACAGGACACGAAACTAATTTGCATGCATGAAATTAATGCATGCATTACGAAAGTATTAAATTACACGTGAAACTGTTGGTAAAACTAATGTCACGAAATTAGTTTCATGCCACTAATTTCGTAATGTAAATTCGCCTTTAGCTAAATCCAACGGTTATAAAGCAAACTCGATGAGACTATCAAATGACACAGGAAATTACGAAAATGTGGGTTGAAATATCCTATTATAATGGTGGAATGTATTATTTAATAATAAAAAATGAAATTATTCGGTCTTTACTTTCATGTGGAAAAAGTTTACTACCTTACTTACTATTCGTGTTGAGCGATGCACCGGTGTTCAAATCCCAGGCGGGTACCAATTTTTCTGATGAAACACGATTGACTTTCACGGTGAAAGAATAATATCGTTTAATAAAAATCAAATCCGCAAAATTATAATTTGCGTAATTACTGGTGGTAGGACCTCTTGAGAGTCCGATCGGGTAGGTAACACCACCCTGCCTATTTCTGCCGTGAAGCAGTAATGCGTTTCGGTTCGACGGGTGGGACAGCCGTTGTAATTATACCTACTTGAGACCTTACAACTTATATCACAAGGTGGGTAGCGCATTTACGTTGTAGATTTTCTACGGGCTCCAGTAACCACTTAACACCAGGTGGGCTGTAAGCTCAACAACCCATCTAAGCAATAAAAAAACCTGCTTTAAAATTTCGCAAATTTTCTTATTAAGGTTATAGTTACTTTAATATCACGTCGTTTTACGCTGTCGTGATGAACGAACTTAGTTCGACATCTTATGAAATTTAAGCAGTGTTTGTCTTAAATATTAAGTGTATTATCTATGGTGTTAAGTATGTAATGTATTGTACTAATGTTCGTAGCACTCAAATATGCAGCGTACCGCACTATATCCGATCGTCCTTTACCGGGAATATAATAATCCCATATTATTGTCCGATAGCTGCAGAAGTCATAGATTATACACTTGCAGAAGTCGTCGAAAGGTTGTACTTTGTCACAGAAAGTTTGAACTAACTTTTTTGAGATTCAGCTTCTTCGTTAGTCCTGTCTTGGGTTCAAGTTGAGGAAGAGGAACTTAGAGCCGAATAACATCATGTAAACTGGGAAATTAAGAATTAAATGTTAGAATTAGTTTTATGGGACATTTATAAAACAAATTCTCCACATACCAGCCAAGTCTGGTACTTTTACCACTTCTAGGTCTTCTCTGATCACTTGCTTTCGAAGGGGATTCTTCAGTAGATGGAAAAGAGAGCATTGTGGATGCAGGGGACAGCCTATATTCTATTATTAAGGTAGTGATTACTGTGCTCCTCAAAAAACAACACATATATTTTTAAACAAAAAGAATAAGGCTTATTTCCTTGGACTATTTTATTAACCCCACAATTTTCAAATCACAAATCACCATTCTTAAAATTATTAGTTCGAAAAAACGTCATGACATTGCACTGACAATAAGTCTCACAAAAGTAAAGGTTTGAGGAACGCTCAAAATTCCCTGAAACTATACAAAGGTATGCATAATTTATATTGAAATTGATATATAAGTGCGGCAATAATATTTTAACAACTAATATCTAACATGTACTTAATTATGAATTACTAAATACTTCATAAATGTTTGCACCTAATAGCTTCAACTTTTCATTAAGTGTTAGCTGTTGTGTTAATAAATCTGGAATGTTGTTGTCACCTTTGCACATGTTCTTAGTAATAAGGTCATTGATAACAGGTAACAATTTAACAAAGTAAATCTCTACTTTGTTCACATCAACAAAAGGCTCGCTCTTCAATTTTAATACTCCACTTGTGATGACATGATCTTCTACTTCTAATTGATTCTTACTTGGTGGTATCGATTTGGTCACAAATAAATTTGCAACTTCATCAATGACACATGAAAAACTTCTGCTAACTGATGACATTGTAACTGAAATTACTTCATCACTTTCTAAAATGTCCATTGTTTCTTTAACAATTGTATCCAATTTCGAATCATTTATTTCATTGTGACCAATTAAATAATACACCATGTTTTTTAGAGGATCACCTTCAACGGTGTCAGTACACAAAATAGTTTGAATAGACCAGAACATCTGCTCTACTTCCTGTAAAGTGATCTTTTTTTTAAGCAAAACTGGTTCTACAACTCTTTTAACAGTTTTTTCAATTCTCTTGATCAAGTCTTCTATACCTTGTCCTACAAAATAGTGGCACAGAGACAGGTATTTTGTTTGCAAGTTACTATCTACAATTGGATCTCCTTCTTGTACAGAGTCTTTATATAGATAACCACCAATGACATTTAATTGAACTCTGAGTGCAACTTGAAGCATGCACAGGCCATAGACTAAAACACAAATTCTTGTAAAAATTGTGATTTTCAATTGTTCCCATAGTGCCAATTTATCGTCAGGATTCTCTTGCAGTTTTTGTACAATCTCCTCTGTGTTTAGCAAACTCAAAATACTTTCAGATACAATTTTAGAAAGTGAAAGTATTGTTTGGTTGCATGTTCTCTCAGTGCCTTCAAAATGCTGTTTTTTTCGAGTCATCTCAAAGAACTTTTTTGCTTCTTTCTCCTGCCAATCTCTTAGTTTTTTCTGAGCATAGCTTGAGAGTACATAAAGCCCACCTACAACTGCTCCAGTCACAAAGAACTTTCTTCTATGACGATTTAAAAAGTTTTTGATGTTAGAAAACATTTTGAGTTTGATTTATTGGAATTCTAATGGAGCATCAGATCGGTATTTAGTTGTACTCATTAGCCTCTTTGTAATATAAGTTGTAGCATCAATAAACCTTTCCACACAGTTCATAATACATACTTCAGTCTTCGAGTCTAGCCGTGTTGATGGTTTTCCCATACATGTGTCCCAGCAGGTGTCTGTGAGACCGTGAACAAGGACCTGAAACATTTATTTTTAGATGGCTGAATTTTTTTATTCACTTTATTTTGAAAAGAACTAAATTAATGTGACGTTTTAGCAGTGATTTTTAACGATAATTCACTTTAAATTAAAACTTAATCACGTTTTGGTTTTAACATTTTAAACAATAGAGTAGGTCAAAGGTCAACTCAACACTGTATTTGTAATTTAATTAACAATTGTAATATGGTACTTCTAAAAATTATCTGCTACATTTTAATAATTTGCTGAGAATTCCACTAATTTCTGGAGTAATAACCTGGAAACGTTGTTTTTGTGTTTCGGCGAGAATGAAGTTTTCCAGTTGCGGATCGACGTTGTCTGTTTCTGACATAATCAAAGGGTGATTTTATTTAAAAACACTTCATATGCATACATCAGAATTACAGTTTCTATTTTCTCTAATCAGATATGTACTTTTTACTTTTAACAATCATTAGAAGAAATTAAACATGGAGTAGATTAAGCCACAGTCCAGTAACAGTACCGTAACTATTAACTAATAAATTAATCTGTGCCACAGTCCAGTGCAAGCGATTACTAGGACTTTTTGGCGGGAACGCGAGGTGTGAAGTTGAATGATTTGTTTTATTTTGTCTAAGTAGTGTTTCTTCAGGTTTAAATGTGTAATAACGGTGGTTTATTAACTGTTTAGTATCTGTGAAAGTGCACAAATGTGGGAAAATGAAACAAAGCCGCTGAACGTAACTTCTCGGGATCCTCCAAAAAGTCCACTGAAAATGTCTCAGTAAATGACCACCATTTTACTAAGATTATACTTCATCTCATATCATCTCATCTCATTTCGTTTTCATTTCATTTCATGCCATGTTTCATAATAATCAACTTCATTTCATTTCATTTCATGCCATGTTTCATAATGATCAACTTCATTTCATTTAATAATATCATTTTTCATGTAAAAAAATTATCATTATAAAATAAAAAATAAGACTTGAAGGTCTTAGTTACCAGGTCATAAAATCCCTTAAAAAAAGCGACTACTAACTGTAATTAACACATTTTAATTATGTAGTACCATTTAATTAAAATGTGTTATTTACGGTTAGTAGTTGTAACATGAGCGTTAACTGTTCAAAAACAACACATAAATAGCAATAAAGTTTCAATACCAATTTAAATCAACACTTCCTCATCATGTAATATTTCTATTATTTCTATATAAAATACTAAAATAATTATATGAAAATATAAGAATCCATTTAAATTTATGAAAAGATAAATGTATTTTCTTGTAGATATACGCCATAGATTTTCCAAAAAAATACATAAATCATAAAAAGAGCCTAAAAATAATGTATCCACCACAAATGATTTTTTTTTTCCTACCTATGCTAATAGCCTTGAGAGGCTATATCAGCGTTACCGGACGAGTAAGTAAGCTCACGGGGCTCAAATTTGGCGAAGTTGCTAACACCGACTCTAACAAGAGCAGTGCTTCGCAGAATCTACCTCCGGAATTAGTATAGTAGTTATGGTATCCACTTAAAAGACTATTAATACCACAGGTTAATTGGAGTATCATAGTTAATTTTGTATTCATACTGCTATAGAAATATTTTTTTAACTTTACGCTTTGATCATGGTTTTTTTTTATTGTTTGATTGTTGATTTGTTCACTTAAAAATGGATGTAGGTCATACGGCCAAATCAAGCAAGGGAGATATTTTAAGGTAGAAACTGTTTTGTGGACACCGCAGTGTAAAGGGGACTTTCATTTCGACAGGCAGCGGTTTAGTTGTGTCTCTAGCATTACTAATGGCCATAAGCGAAGATCTTATCACTACTAATCATTAGGTAGGCAGTATACTTGTCTGCCATCAATACCAATAAAAACACCGGTGTACCTTTTTTGAAAATTATATTTATTATTTATTTCTAAATATATAAATTATTTGCTTCTTTTAATAATACCTATATTATTGTATTTGCATTACAGCTCATTACCACAATTCTAGTAAATAAATAAAGTAACATTTAAATATTACCTGCCGCTAACTAATACACCCTTGACTGTGCTCACGCAGCACCCTGGAACTAGAGCATGCCCGATTCCAACTGAGCAACACAAAGCTGGCCCCTCCACGTGGTTAGGTAATACAAAAAATTGTATATAATTTCGTTTCATTTCATTTTACTTTTCGTACAACAGACCTGTTTTCGGCCTTTGTTACAAAAGAAATGACTGTAAGAGCTTATTCCCTTTGTATACTTAGCATATGCATTATATTGTGTATTATGTTGTGTATTATGTACGCATGCCTTAAACAAAATAAAGCACAAATGTGGGAAAATTAAACAAAGCCGCTGGACGTAGCCTCTCCAAAAACCTCCAAAAAGGCCACTGAAAAAGCCTCAATAAATAACCACCATGTTACTGAGATTATATTTCATCCCATATCATCTCAGCTCATTTCTTCTAATTCATCTCAATTTAAATTAATAAACTTTATTTCATTTCACTTCATATTATAATTTTTCTTAAGAAAATATATAATAGATTTGGCTGTATGGTACGAAGCCTTTGCCTTTACAGTTGGAAAAATAGAACTACTACTACATAAACAAAAAAAAGTTGTTTTTACGGCTCTGCTCCTTCTTTGCACATGTAAATAAAGAAAAATGGAATTAAAGTGGAAAAAACTTGATAACAGTAATTTACGCGGTTATACTGCCGTAGTACCAAGTGTTGCAGTTGGTAATGTGGGACAGCTTGCATGTGATTTACTTATATCATCTTTAAGAATGAAAAAAATTGCTTCAATAAATAGTATTGCAATAGTTCCAATATTGGGGTATGACCCATACGATCATAATACAATAGATTTATCAATGTGTTGTGAATTATACAAGTGTGAAGAGAAAAAAATTATTGTTCTACAACTTCGGGCACCATTGGTGTATAAATATGCAACGTCATTTTTGAAACAGATTCTTGAAAAATTCAAAGAAAGCGGTATAAATGACATTGTGATATTAACAAGTAGCTATGCACACGAGAAGAAACACATAATGACGTCACCATTTAGATATTTGGTAAATGAGTATAGCTCATACAAAAATGAAATACAAAAATTAAACTGGACCGAGCATGAAATCATTGAAAATGGAATTAAAATACTCGGTGGAGGTTTTGCTTCTTTACTTTATGGAATATGTATAGAGCAGTTGGTACCTTGTTTAATTTTGTATAAATATTGTTCTGAAGGAGATAATATACCAGATGCATATGAAATGATCCAATACTTAGATAGTGTACTGAGAATCTTCAATAAAGATAAGGATCTGTCATCTCAATTGGTGCAGCCTATTTCATGGAAATATTTGTATGGGCGTCCTCCACCTATTGGCATTTATTAAATAAAAATATACTATAGTATTTGTTTTACAATAGTGTGGCCTTACTTTTTATTCTATTTTGGATAAGTCAGTCAACAGAATTGAAGGAATAATCGGATCTTTCTCACCATAGTTTGTATCTACTTCAATAAATTATAGTTTTTTTCAAATTTGGTTTTATTTAAATTTATATAGATTTTATTATAATTGAGTCGTCTATTATCAAAGGTGGCAATCTGTGCATTTGGACAAAAAAAATTTATTGATATGTCAATACAGATTGATTTGAATATAATCGTCTCCTTCAAAGAATACGGTTCAAAAACTGCATTAAATAAAGGTTAATGCTTAACCTGTTATTTATCTAAGATGTCGTTCAGAAGAGTTTTGTGACTGCCAATGGAATACAAAGTCAATAATTCGTTTTTCGGATTTACCAATAATTGTCCAAAAGTCACATTGCCGGCTTTGATAATAGTCGACTCAATTGTTTTATTTGAAGTTATCCTGGCCTAAGGGATAAAAAGTCCAGTGTAATCATATTGGGTGATGTGAATATGCTAGTGTTGAAATCCCATAGGCAGGTACCAATATTTTAAATAAAATATATACCTGACACAAGCTCATAAATCAACGTAATAAATCAAACCTGTTTAGTTACCTTCAGGATTTTGCTCAGTGGCCCAGCTCAACTCAAAATGCAATTTTATATTAAAACCTGAGATTAAAACATAAAAGCTATAAGACGATTCAAAAAGCTAATGTAAAATAATTTTATATGAACATACATACATACATTTTCTTTTATATATATAAATTTCATATTAACACGACCTATGGTTCAAATAACCTATAATAATAAAAACTTACGTAACTATTTTCATCGCACTTAATACAAATGTGCAGTTTCATATTCCCCAAATCCTGATCACACAGGAGCCAGTTACAGTCGACGCATTAGACACGTCCTTACGGACCCATCAGATTCAATAACGCAAGCCTTGCATTAGACGCCTTTAGCTCTAGGAGCAGGCTTGGGGACCCCGGTAACCGTACTCGTCGAACTCGAAAGAACGTTCGACGTGCAGCCTAAGCGAAACATCACCCCGCTGAGTTTCGCGACGGATCTTCTCAGCGGGTTGCGATTCCGATCCGGCAGTAGATTCATTTGCGATGGAACTACTCTTGAGTTGTTAGAACTCGTTTGGGGGCGCTTGGGCTGTTCTAGCAAATCTCACCCCTCAAGGCTGAGAAACTGGAAAGGCCTTCGGGCCACCAGATGTTTCATATCAATTTAGCTTACGGTTATCGAGTGTTAGGTGAACGTACATAAATTATCTTCTATAAACTTAGTCTGGCCATAAATACTGTTACAATTAAAAATAAACAAAATATTACATTTGAATTTGGAATCTGTCATTTTTATAATATGATTGCTCATTGAGTTTTCTCATTTTGGCGCCAATACATTGTACAATATTTTGCGATATTAAAATGGAGTGGGGTGATAAAGAGAACCGAATCGCTGTGATTACATTACACAAAGTAGGTATAGAGCCAAATGCAATTTTTAAAACTTTCCATACGCTTGCTATTAGTAAAATTTTTGTGTACCGGGCTATTAATAGGTGCAATGAGACCTCCTCTGTTTGTGACAGAAAAAGATCTGGCCGTCTACGTAGTGTTCGTACGAAAAAGGTGGTCAAAACAGTAAGGGTAAGAATTCGAAGAAATCCTGTCCGAAAGCAAAAGATTTTATCTCGGGAGATGAAGATAGCACCTAGAACCATGTCGCGTTTTTTATTTTTTTTTATTGCTTTAGATGGGTGGACGAGCTCACAGCCCACCTGGTGTTAAGTGGTTACTGGCGCCCATAGACATCTACAACGTAAATGCGCCACCCATCTTGAGATATAAGTTCTAAGGTCTCAGTATAGTTACAGCGGCTACCCCACCCTTCAAACCGAAACGCATTACTGCTTCACGGCAGAAATAGGCAGGGCGGTGGCGGTAGGGCACCTACCCGTGCGGACTCACAAGAGGTCCTACCACCAGTCATTACGCAAATTATAATTTTGCGGGTTTCACCGTGGAAGTCAATCGTGAACATTTGTTAAGTACGTATTTCATTAGAAAAATTGGTACCCGCCTGCGGGATTCGAACACCGGTGCATCGCAACAACGAATGCACTGGACGTCTTATCTTTTAGGCCACGACGACTTCAGATTTTAAAAGATGACTTAGGACTTGCAGCCTATAAGAGACGTATTGGTCATTTCTTAACTGATAATTTAAAAGAGAATAGGGTGGTAAAATCGAAACAACTACTGAAGCGGTACGCAAAGGGAGGTTATAGAAAATTTTTGTTTACGGATGAGAAATTTTTTGCAATTCAGCAACATTTTAACAAACAAAATGACCGTATTTATGCTCAAAGCTCTAAGGAAGCTTCCCAATTAGTCGACAGAGTGCAACGTGGGCACTATCCGACTTCAGTGATGGTTTAGTGGGGAATTAGCTATGAAGGAGTGACTGAGCCATACTTTTGTGAAAAAGATATCAAAACATCGGCACAAGTGTATCAAGATACCATTCTTGAGAAGGTAGTGAAGCCCCTTAACAACACCATGTTCAATAATCAAGAATGGTCCTTCCAGCAAGACTCAGGGCCAGGTCATAAAGCTCGGTCTACGCAGTCTTGGTTGGAAACGAACGTTTCGGACTTCATCAGAGCTGAAGACTGGCCGTCGTCTAGTCCCGATCTTAATCCGCTGGATTATGATTTATGGTCAGTTTTAGAGAGTACAGCTTGCTCTAAACGCCATGATAATTTGGAGTCCCTAAAACAATCCGTACGATTGGCAGTGACAATTTTTCCGATGGAAAGAGTGCGTGCTTCTATTGATAACTGGCCTCAACGTTTAAAGGATTGTATTGCAGCCAATGGAGACCACTTCGAATAAGCTTTTTATACATTAAATTCATTTATATTTATGTATTAAACTAACACACTGTAAAAGTAATAAATGTTATTTGCAATAGAATTTTTTTTTTTTCGTTTGTCTCTGTATTTATGGCAAGACTAATTATATAGATTCCGATTGTAATTTTGAATATAATTTCTTAATGGAAGCTCTAGTGTTTAAAATATTGCAGGGAGGCATTAGTATCGTGAATATAGCGACATATTGCGAGTACCTACATAGGCGAATGTAAAGGGCAAAACCCAAATAGACAAAGAAATTATTCCTATGGGAAATCTTCCTCATTTCTGATTCTGCGAGAGAGCGTACCTTACCGTAATTAATTAGACCCAGCCACGATCACAGGTATAGCTGTTCAATATCCTCATCAAAAATTCAAAGCGCATCGTTGATAGGAATTGTTCAGTTGCCTCAAAAATAATGAGTACTTATCTCTCCGATTACTAAAACGGTAAGTGCCTACTCCAATTCCTTTTTAGTGAAGTTATATCACACTAATGTCATATGTAAGGATATTTAAGTTATAGTAAAGAATAGGGCTATCCTCAGCTTAAGTTTTTTTCTGTATGTAACTGGTACCTACTTGGGGCTTCTAAACCAGATATATCGTTGGCCCCTATACTCATCTACACATGAGGTCGAATGTGTGCTTAGGAAAGCGCAAGCTGTGAAATACTACTATTACTGCTGTTCTCTCAGCTGTGTTGGAGACGTTCAATATTTAATAATTAAGTTGTGTCTTTCAAATAAATATTTATGAACGCCGCTCGAAATATGGTTGATATTTCGAGATACATATTTCTATCAAAACTTTTGGAAGCATTAATTAGATTTGAATAAGTCTATAGCTATCTAAATATTTCTTGGAAGTGTGTCGAATTCGTAACAATAGACAATATAGAATATTATTATGTTTTTTTGTTACATAAATTCAAGTTTCATTGTGAAAGTCGTTTGAGAACATACGCTAGGTACTTAGATCTTTTTAGAAAAGTTTTTTTATAAGTCAAGAAATAATCTTCACAGAAATTAGATGATAGTGTGTACAATATTCAAAAGTCGACGAATAGCACTTTAGTCGTTCTTGCCAACAAAAATTGCAAATAATCGAAAACATCGGAATTGTAAACGCGAGAATAAACCGTAAAAGTGTTTTTAATCGTCAATTGAGCACATTATAAATAATACTGTGAACGGAACGTTTAAATTAATCCCAGGTCCTCATAATTGATTTCTTGGTCAGATCGAACCCACATTTACGAACAATATTTTATAAGATTAGTGGTCATTAATGACGCTTTTTGTTTAATAAGCACATTAGGCAAATCTGGAGTTTTGGGTGTATTTTTTACACTACCATCGATAAGTTTGGAAGTACATACATCTGTTTCATATAACTAATAAAACATTTTAAGACATATTCACAAAAATAATAGGATTATCATACGACATGGTCAAGTTTAATATAACATAAAAATAAAAATAATTTTACGGCATTTTTGTCTTTCATTTGATTTTACTTGGCTTCCAAACTTTTCCTTCCAATTTCCAAACTTTTGGACGGCAGTGTATGTTATTCCGATGTTAAGAATTAATTCGTGATTTTTTTATTACTGTGGAGAGGAAGTTAATAAACGAAAAATAATAAAGGAAGGAAGCAAGGAAGTCTATTAAATAACTAAGAATTCACTAACCTCGACTGACAATGTTCACTACTATTCATGTCATAAAACCACATAATTAAAAAAAATTTTTTTTTTGTTACTCGTAGTATTTCTTTTCGTACTCGAATGCCTAAAATGTGTCCTGGATTGTAGGTATTTTCTTCCGTTGTGACAAATTACGTATAAATCATAATGTTGATAATGTTTTATGATTCTGTAAATGTTGCTTAACAATTAAATTATCAACATAACAACCTGCTTACACAAAAAAATGCTTGGGTTAAAACTTATTTTCTAAAATGTTTAATTGTCAAGTGTATTGTAGGAACAACATGTACGCCTACAAAATTTTATGTACATGTTCACCACTACATAGTATACAACAAAGTCGCATTCTCTGTCCCTATGTATGCTTAAATCTTTAAAACTACGCAACGGATTTTGATGCGGTTTTTTTTAATAGATAGAGTGATTGAAGAGGAAGGTTTATATGTATTATATAATAACATCCATTAAATAGTGGAGCAATACTGTTATTTTTGAGGTTTCTAATGTGATGTCGTAAATAATCAATAATAAAATTTCATGTTTCGGAAGCGAAGCGAGGGCGGGTGGCTATTTACTAATAAATATTATTATGTTAGTGCGTATTTTGTGCGTGCGTGGATAAATACAAAATACCACAGCCTAAACGTAAGTAAATGTCATATTTACTTACATTATACTTATATTATAACACACAAACGCGGCGGTTCCATATTCAAAACATACATGTACATTTAATTGGAATTCGACCTTTTTCAAATAAAGTTACTTTTACCGCCACTATGAGATCTCATATTTTTCACAACGGTTATATTTACGAGGCTACACCGCAATAAAATTTAACTTTACGGCCGGACTTAACTCACGGAACGAATGCTCAAAATTATAATTGTTTGTTTATGTTTTCGCATAACAGACACAGCTTAATTGAAATGTAGGCAATTGAACACAGAAGCGATCCACTTCGGATAGCGATAACTTGCACAATTATAAGATGTGGATATGCAAAAACACGGTTGGGTTAGAATGAAGCAAAATTAGCAAAATGTATTTAGATCCAATAGTCCTAAAATTTAGTTAGATTTACTAAAGGACCATTCAAAATAAGAATTATTTGTTAATACTCCTGAAAAATTGCAAGTAATATTCAAATTTAGTTTTACGCATAAGCATATTAAATAGCATAATAAATCATATAACAATGATGTATCAAAAATAACAAAGATATTACAAATTTTGCAGAGTGGATTAAAAATGCATGATATATTACATTAATTAAGTTTTAATTGAACTCAAAATATAATTAAAAATTTTAAATTTGTTTTAATTCATTTATTACATTATTAAATTATAGAAGAGGTATTACAAAAATACGTCCACATAATATAATTGTCTCATCACTATACAACAAAACAAAAAATTGGTACAGTACAAGCAACTTATTCGCGCTTCCTTCATTTGCGTTTTCACTATTCAGGGGTTAAAAAATGCAAGCCAATTCCTCCTATGTTCGTGACTAAAGATTTCTTTGCTCGCGGATCTAATCGGTACATACACATTGATAAAATGGTAGGTACCCACTACCCGAATATCCTTTGTAAACGCGATTTTCCATATTCACGGTTTCTGTATTCACGGCATATTTATGGAACATATACTTCGCGAATAAGGAGCTTTAACTTTATAGTCGAATGCATAGGTATTATACTATACATATCCATATTTTACTTAAAATCGTATTTATGTAACAAACAGTACAAGTAATTGTTACTTCGCGAGGTTTACCGTTGTAAAATTGTTATAATTTTTACTACATTAAAAAGTTAACAAATAATGTTGAAAAAATAATAAAAATTTCTTTAGAGATTTTCTAAATTGATTCCATTTCGGAACCGCCGTTAACGCTTACGATAAGAAAGATTGAACATTATTAATGTGGTAGAGAAAAGTGTATGTCATGAGTGCTCAACCCTCCATCGGAGCCAACCAGTGTGGACCAAAGTGTTATAAATCGCCCGTTATCGCTTTAAGCAATAACTACTTTATGGCGCTATAAAGACAACCTTATGTTATCTTTGAGAAATAGCGAGAACAGATTTAAACCCGCCCAGAAGCCCAATAAACGAACTAAGAAGTACGTACGTATATGGGTATAACCTTTGGAAGTGCTTTATGTATTCACAGAGTGACCTTTTATAAATTGTTGGGGTCCAAGGGGAAGTTTTGTTGAGTTCCAAAGAGTTAGTGTGTTGTTTGAGCACCTTTATTATATTGGTAAAGGACAGATGTGGCGTCTTAACGAGTGCGTGTTGCTAAGTGCACTGCTGTAAGAATATAATAAAATAACCTGACACCACAATGACGACGCACGGCGTGTCCACATATTAGTTAGGTATGTGCNTTTTATAAATTGTTGGGGTCCAAGGGGAAGTTTTGTTGAGTTCCAAAGAGTTAGTGTGTTGTTTGAGCACCTTTATTATATTGGTAAAGGACAGATGTGGCGTCTTAACGAGTGCGTGTTGCTAAGTGCACTGCTGTAAGAATATAATAAAATAACCTGACACCACAATGACGACGCACGGCGTGTCCACATATTAGTTAGGTATGTGCAAACCGTACATCTTGGCAACCCAAAAGAGCAAGAAACAATCGATTAACAATAAATGAAATAGTTCGTAAGCTTAAATAAAAATGTAAAAAATATAAAAGTTAAAAATGTAAAGGTAAAAGTAAAAATATGTATAAAATGACATTTCACAACAAAATTACTTAAAATGTAACTTAATCAAAACTAAAGGCAAAGTTGGTTCCACTGGTGTTTACGCTTCGGGCTGGCTTCGGTGGAGGCGCGACTTGGGCTTGAACACCATCATCTCGTCGGTCGTGCCGCAGGTGAAATGTTTGAAGTTCGATATCTTCAGTGGGTGCAAGTGGATGGCTCTTCTTTTTCTTTAAGCAGTGGGAATGTTTCCTCACAACCCACACGAGGCCAATAACCAGAGCTGTTACTAATAATAAGTATGTAATGATATACTGATGTATGTCATGCGCTGATATGATGGTCGACGGAAAATGTTTTTCCTGCTCCTTTTGCTTAGCAATCTCTTTAGCGATTATTTTTGTTTCACGTGCTGTAGACTGGAACAGATTCGGAGTGTAGTTGTATGTTAAATTTAGTATTTTGTTTACTGAATTGTCCAACGTTGTACTTGCAATTTCATAATCTAACTTCACAAGGCTGTTATAACGATTATGCGCATATATCGTTAAGTCATTAGACTGAAGTACACATCCTTGTGGCAGCGATACTATCCCCGATGACGTCATGGTGTGTGAGGACACGTCACTGTTGCATATGGTGCGTAAAGTACACGTATCACAGCATATGACGAGCCACTTGTTCGATGCATGTAACTCAAGCCACGCGTCCTTGCATGATGCGTTCTCGACGTCACAGGGCTCGAGGTTTTAATGTGACAGCAGTTTCGCTTCGCATGGAGCTCCGTTGCTATGCATGTCAAAAATAGGTTTATTTGTTTTGCATATAATTTTATCTGAACGTTGTTGGAGACAGCTCTTAAGATCATCTTTATTTAGCGAAATATATATATTTTTCTCCAAGTTTACTGCGATATATTTCGATGAAATTCGCATATATGCGTAGCTTTCATTGTTTTTCACAGGCAATGGTATCGCCCTGTTTAAGTTAAAATATTCATTTGATACAAGTGGTATATGCATTTCAAAAAGAAAATAGTTTTCGGTGCGACGAGTTCCTTCCCAGTACGTTGTAATGTTGTAATACATAATTAAAGTCCATTCATTGTGTACCATTTGAATTTTACCGATTGCGTCGTAGTAGATAAGGCGCTCGCGTTCTAAGCTTGTAATTTGAGCTCTTAATAACGCGGACCCATATGATCCAGATATAAATGTAAACATTGTCAGCATCGTAAGTAAAAGACTCGATAATTAATCTCTGCCTTTTTTGTTTTTGCTTTCAAAATTTGACCTTTGTTCCTCCTTAGTTGTGGGATCTCCTTCTTGGTTTTCGATTTCAGACCCCAACGGTAAAGGTGATAGTTTTGTTACGGGACGTTTGGTTACTCCTGTTCGAGTTTTGATGGTCGTAACTCGGACATATCCGTCAGAACCTGGATGAGTTTCGAGCACCCGCCCTAAAGCCCATTTTCCAGGAGGTAAGTTGTTGTCCTTAATCAATACGATATCGCCGACGTTGATATTTTTCGTAGGTTTGTTCCATTTACTCCGAGTTTGCAGTTGTGTTAGGTACTCGTTGGACCAATTTTTCCAATATTGTTGTAACATTTGTTCTACAAGTTGCCATCGACGACGTACGCCAATGTGAACGTCAGTGTAATCTGATAATGGTAACGTCATTATCGCGCCGCCAGTGATGAAATGGCCGGGTGTTAAACAGTTGTAAAATTCTTCTGGATCTTCAGTAAGAGGACACAAGGGCCTCGAGTTTAAGCAGGCTTCTATTTTTGTTAGTAGCGTTGACATCTCCTCGTAGGTGAGTTTCTGGTCACCTAGCACTCGTCGTAAATGTCGTTTCATGGATTTGACGGCGGCTTCCCACAAACCGCCCGCGCTCGGCCAGGCAGGGGCGTTAAAATGCCACTCGACTTCCAGTTTAGCTAATTCATCAAAAAATTCGGGTGTCATGATTTGTTTGAAGTTTTTGAATTCCTGACCTAGCACTTTTGCCGCGCCGATGAAATTAGTTCCACAATCTGAGTACATATGTTTAGGGGTACCACGCCTTGCGCATAGTCGTTGAAAAGCTGCTATGAATGTCTCAGTGCCGAGATCGGAAACAAGTTCAATATGTACGGCTTTGGTAGCCATACATATGAATATTGCAATGTATCCCTTAGAAGTTTTTACACCTCTGCCTTTGTTTATTTTCAGTTCGATGTAACCAGAGTAGTCAACCCCTGTAAATGTAAAGGGTCGACATGGGGTTACTCTCTGTTGCGGAAGATTACTCATCAGTTGATGGTTGTCGGTTTGTGTGAAACGGTGGCAGCGCACACATTTTCGTAGTTGAGTTTTGACAGCCCTGTTGCCTCCGACGATCCAATATCGCTGTCGTATGTAAGTCAGCGTTAGCCGAGCTCCTCCATGCAGTGTAGTTAAATGGGAATATTCAATCAAAAGTTGCGTTAATCGACCTTTATGTGGTATGATAATTGGGTTTTTCATTTCCGCAGGTAAGTTTGAGTTTTGGAGGCGGCCGCCCACGCGAATTATCTTATCTTCGTCTAAGTAGGGGTTCAGCTTCATAATTGCGCTCCTTTTCGACACATTTTCGTTTTTCAAAAGTTGTTTATATTCTTGATTGAATTGTATTTGTTGTATGTGTTTGATAATAATTTTTCTTGCTGCAGTTAGTTCGGTAGTAGTCAGATACGGGGCCTCAGATTTCCTTTTAGCGCTCATGTTTGTTATGCAACGTAATATCCAAGCAGTAACTCGGAAAAGTTTTGTTAATGAACTGCATTTATTTAACAAGGTTGTTATCCAATTATCCTTTTCGTGATTTGACGAAGTCTCTTGATTTTCTTTTTCTTTGCAGCTAATGTTTGTATGGTATGTTTTGTAATTTGCAGTCTCATCTGTTTCAATTTTCTTCAAAAATGTAGGACCTTGAAACCATAAATCGAAGGTCATTAGTTTACTTGGTAGCATGCCTCTCGATGCACAGTCGGCAGGGTTATGCTCTGACTTAATGTAACGCCATTGTGTGGTAGGTATAATCCGTTTGATTTTTGTAACTCAATTGGATATGTAGGCATCTCTTTTAGCAGTGTCCCCTTGGAGCCACGCGAGAACTACTTGCGAGTCACACCATGCTTGAATTTTCAGATTGTATTCCGATAAAGCCTTCTGAGTTTTTTCCATGAGTTTAGCCAACAGTAAGGCGCCACACAGTTCAAGCCTCGGCAGCGTGGTTTTTTGTGCTATAGGAGCCACCCGTGTGCGGGATACAAGTAGCGTAATTACTGGAACTTCGTTGGAACTTGTCACGCGACTGTATATAACACAAGCGTAAGCTTTCTCGCTTGCATCACAGAAACCCAGTAATTCTATATCTTGTTTTGTTTCGCCAATCCATCGTTTCAAAGTTATGTTACGAATGAAAGGCAATTCTATTTTTAGTTTTTGCCATTCTTTCTCAATATTTTGGGGGATTTCATCGTCCCAATCCATGTTTAGAGTCCAGACTTTTTGAAATAGTAATTTTGCAGTAATGGTCACCGGAGACAGCCATCCCAACGGATCATAAAACTTAGAAATTTCAGACAATAATAGTCTTTTTGTTAGTTGTTTTGTACTTTGCTTCACAGGCCATTTTAGGTGAAATGTGTCGCTGTTAGTGTTCCAAGTAAGTCCCAACGTTTTTGATGTTTCATCAATTTTGAAATCGAAGCTGTTTGTTGTTGAAATTTGCTCTTTAGGTAAGTCTTCTAATAAAGTTGGATAGTTGCTGGACCATTTGCGTAAATTCATCCCCGCACCCTTTAGTAAATCGATTAGGGACCGCTGTAACTCCATGGCGGTTTCGAATGACCGTTCACCACTAACAAGATCATCTACGAAGAAGTGGTTCTCCAGGACCTCTGCAGCTGCAGTAGGGTACTTATGACCATCATCAATGGCGAGTTGTTTGAGTGTACGTAAGGCTAGCCAAGGAGCGGGTTTGGTACCGTAGGTCACCGTACAAAGTTTATATTCTTGTAAAGGTTGTTCTGGTGAATCTCGCCAGATAATTTTTTGTAGATGTTGCTGATCATCATTTATCCACACACAACGATACATTTTTTCAATGTCCGCAGTAAAGGCAAATTTGTATGTTCTCCACTTCAAAATAAGCGACTGAATATCTTTTTGAAGGTTGGGGCCCTTTTCCAAAAGGCTGTTTAAACTGTGACCACTCGATGTTTTTTGAGATGCATTAAAGACTACTCTCAGTTTGGTTGTTGTAGAGCTCTCTTTCAAAACACCGTGATGTGGTAAGTAACAGTCGGCGTATGTTATATGAGGCGACAGTTTCATGTGGCCCAGGTCCGCATATTCTCTGATAAATTCTTTGTACATAGTTGAAAGTTTTTTATTTTTAGCGAGCCGTTTTTCCAGTTGTAAAAATTGTGAGACAGCGATAGGTCTCGATGAACCTAATTTTTCTTTAAGGTCAGGGCGGAGTGGCATCTTCACAATATATTTTCCGTCGGGAGCACGTTGTACTGTTTCCGAATAAAATAGTTCACACTGATCGCCCTTGGAAATATCTTCAGAATTTTGTATTTCTTCGCTCTCCCAGTACTTTGTTAATTCATCAAAGTTCACCAAGGTCACGTGGCAATTAAACGTTTTCATTTTCCCACATAGGATCCATCCTAGATGTGTCTGTTGTGCCACAGGGGATTGACAGCTTCCTTTTAAAACTCCATTGAGTATAATGTCTGAATAAACATCGGCACCCAGTAGTAAGTCGATGGGGCGAGAGATGTTGAAGTCAGGATCAGCCAGCTTTAAGTTTTCCAAATGAGGCCAGTTCGATTTTTCGAAAGTAGCATTCGGTAAGTTATTTGTAAGTTTTTTCATTATAAGTGCTTGTATTTCGAAGTCGTATTCAGAGTTTATTGATTTACAAGATAAGTTTAGTTGACCCCTGCAATCACCAGATACTGAACCAACCCCCGAGATGGTAGCAGCGAACCTTTTCCTCGGCAGGCGTAATACCTGAGCGGCATTTTCTGTTATTAAGTTTACTTGTGAGCCCTGATCCAAGAGGGCCCTAAGTTTTACATAAGTGCCATCATAAGCCTTTATTTTCAGTAGAGTTGTAGTTAGTAAAATTTCAGTTTTATCCAATGATAAGTGATTCGAAGCTTGTTGCTGAGAAGAGGAGGCTTGTTGTCCAAAGTTATTTTTACCATTCGCTGGAATTTTCCAGTTCACGTTGTGCAACATGGTATGATGTTTCATGTTACACTCCTTACACGTTTTCGCTGATTTACATTCTTCGTTATTGTGGCTATAGAGACAATTTTTGCAGAGTTTCAATTTCGCAACAGTGTGGTTTCGCTGTGCAGTATCCATGTTAATAAATTTAGCACATTGCATTAAAACATGATTTCCATTACAATTCGGGCATTTTCCATAAGTAGCGTGATAGTTATAAGTTTTCTTAGAGTCATATGTAAATTTTTTTACAGGTTGTTTGTTGTTAGCCGGTTTCCAATGAGATGTTTTTTC